CTCTAAGTTTCCTTTGGGATGGAGCGTTTCAAATTCATAAAGGTCTTATATCAGCTTCATGACATATTAATTTGCAATTAGGTGAAATAAATAGAAGATGACATTGTTATCGTTATAGTATAATCCCATATTACTATAAAGATTTGTTTAGACTGAACATGAATTAGATTTAAAAATTTCATTAATTTTAGGGTTCATTGTATAAATTATTCTATGACCATAAAATATAGTTCAAAGGAATAAGAAGGGACCTTTAACAGGTTTTAATATTCAGCATAATCATTGAAGAAGACTTTAAAATATCTCCCAGCGAAATTATTGATGGTGAAGGCTGATGAATGATTATGCGTTAATATCCTAACTAAATTAAATCAAATGAGGGAAGTTTAATTTCTGCAAAACTTGTTGACTTCTGATTAGATAATGGAGAAAAGAATTATGAAGAAAGTCCACTTGAAAATCTAGAATAAAGAACAACATTGATTTAATTATTCTTCAAAACTAAATAAAAATGATAATTTAGGTTCCCCAATAATTATCTAGCCCAAAAACAAAGTCACCAGCATGGAAGAGGCAAAAATGTTGTCAAATTTAAAAAAAAAATTGTGTTGACTTGCATAATGAGCAAATCACATTCATTAATATTATCCCATCATTATTGAACCACCTTAATGAAAGTATCAAGGAAGTAGAAGATTAAATTAATAAAATAAGAATGCCCTTTATGTAGATTAAATTCTACTTCGTTCATCATAGGTAAACTTGCACCTTGAATATTTTAGTGATCTTTAACATCTTTTAAGATTAATCCTAATATGAAATAATAGGTGATTTTCCATTAATTGCGTTCTCTCTTATTATAATTTTATCAGACAACTTGGTTTATTCAACTTACCTTCTTTTTTGATATTCTAACTTTACATGAGATTAGCAATATGAAGAAATAACTCAAAAGTTTGATCAATAGAATGTCCAGCGTATGATTCAGAAGATACTTGCTTAAGATCAGGAGCAATTGATAAAAAATTCTAATCTTTAGGATCAAGAATTAAAGTTTTTTTAACCTTGACGAAGAATGAGGGTTGGAAATGGTAACCTTTCTGGTAAAAGAAACGAGATAGTTAATTGGATGCGTTAACAAACATAATTGAATGCCTGAATGAAAACACTATAATCCTAACTTTATTAAACAATAGTTTTGATGAAACCATGAAATCATAATTACCCTTATGTAATGTATTGTCCCATTTATTATGGAGAACATTGGTAGGAAAAAATTTTAGTGCAACGAATGAAAGTATGAATCTTACAGTTCTAAGATTGTTCATCAGATAAGTGAGCATTTATAAATTAAATTTGATCATTATGGAAAGAATCAATAAATTAATTCATTTTATGGGCTGAGAAAAATTGTTAGAATCCATTCAATTTTCTCATAGAATCAAACAATTAAGATTTTTTAATTTTTATAGAGTATTATAATTTTTACTAAATGGCCATTATTGATTTGGAGACTTAAATATCCCTTTTTGTTTAAATTCAATCAATACTTCCAAAGTCTTATTTTTTGATATTATCAGAAAAATTAAAATAATTCGTAATTTAATAATTAAATGTTATAATTTTCATAATTATTAATATGTTCTGATTTGGATTTAATTTGATTTATTATCCCAAGTGATCAAATACTCTCCATTATCACTCATTCCTCCATATAAGAGATGTGTATTAAAATGAATAGATTATTGAGTTACAAAGTGTCCATTTAATTTTTTCGTTATCAAATTTACATATTCACCATTCTTACTTGCAACGATACATTTTGAATTTATATATTATTAAGCAAATAAGCAATCATCGTATTATCCATATTTTACATTAATATCTGTAGTCTTTGTAAACTATTGATTAATACTGTTCATCTCAAAAACAGATATCTATTCTTTCCCATGTAATGATAATGTGAACATATTATTATCTATAAAGCATACTCTATATGCAATTTATTCTACTGTAATCTTTTAGATAACAATCCAATCTTTATTCTGTCCTTATTGTTCCATTATTAATAACAATTAATCAGAACCACAAGATACAATTCTATTTTATTATTAATTCAAACTCAAACCAAATACTGAACCAGAATGATCTTTAATTGTTTACTAACAGGACCATTCATTCTTATTCATCCAAAATTTAATTGTATTATCATCACTTCCTGATACAATTAAATCTTCATTGTTATTTAATATTAGACACATAATATAATGAGTATGTCCATTTAATATGTATTATGAAATCCATTAATTATTGTAATTTAATTACCATATAATCATAGATTTACAACTCCCAGATATAAACTAATTTGATTTCTTCATGAAGTTTAAAGTATATACTTAATTCTTATGATCACTTAAAATTTAAGTTTGTTTGGTGATTCCTTACTTGAATTCAAATACTTTTATTTGACTATAACATCCAGCCAATAATATTGAACAATCTTTATTAATAGCTATTGCAAAACACCATTCATTTTATGAAATTGAATATTGTGAAATTAGTTGATAATTGAATGGTTTGATGTTTGATTGATTAGTAAGTGATTGTATCTCTTAATTTGTTTATGTTTGATTTAATAATTGATCTTTGAGTTTAATTTAATTGTTAAAAGTATATATGATTAATGGTTATATATCTTAATATAATTATTAACTAAAGTTTGATTTCTCAAATTTATTCTAAGGTTAGTCAAAGATAGGTACACAAGCTTCATTTTTCAAGGTCTTACTATTTAATGAATCACAACTAATATTAAGAATTGAATCTAAATAAGAGTCAATTTTGTTGAATGAAGTCTAGTTATTTGATTAATATTACTTCTATTTCATTTTATACCACTTCAAAGCATTCAATTATCTTTTATTAATAAACATCACTTGTTAGACTAATGTATTTATTCATTTCTCTATTCATTTTTATATATTTATTAAAAACAAAAACAATTATTTATATATTTTCTATTAGCACTACAAATTAAATTAATTCATATTGAATTTTACTCAATTATTATATTCCTCAATATACTTAAACTAATTTGAAGATAGCTTCCTTTGCGATTTTGATGTATTAAATCAAAATAATTAACACATGTTATTAAGTGATTTATAAAGATGAATTATAATCTAAATAAATTGATTTCAAAATTAAAAATGATCACAAATGGAATCGATAAATTAAGATTGAATAACCTCAATATATCAACTTCCTTAATAATTCAATTTTAATCAATTCCTTTGTTCGGAAATCTAAATAGTTAATATTTTAATTTAATATTTTATTTCATAAAATTTCTAAAATAATTCTTTATTAAACAATAGAAAAAGATGCCTTGGTAGTTATTAAAATACTGTAAAATTTATTTCCTATTTGTTAGGATTTACAGCGTTAATTTTTTCAAATGACATATAAAAGTCATATCAGCACAAGTGTTGAGAATCTAAGATTCCACTTTATTATAATTTAATTCAATTATTCTAAATAATTTTAATCTTTATGTAATTCTCTTCACAAAAAATCAATAATCTATTGAAAAATAATGCAAANAAATACTGAACCAGAATGATCTTTAATTGTTTACTAACAGGACCATTCATTCTTATTCATCCAAAATTTAATTGTATTATCATCACTTCCTGATACAATTAAATCTTCATTGTTATTTAATATTAGACACATAATATAATGAGTATGTCCATTTAATATGTATTATGAAATCCATTAATTATTGTAATTTAATTACCATATAATCATAGATTTACAACTCCCAGATATAAACTAATTTGATTTCTTCATGAAGTTTAAAGTATATACTTAATTCTTATGATCACTTAAAATTTAAGTTTGTTTGGTGATTCCTTACTTGAATTCAAATACTTTTATTTGACTATAACATCCAGCCAATAATATTGAACAATCTTTATTAATAGCTATTGCAAAACACGTTTGAGTTTATTAAATTGAATATTATGGGATTAATTGATAAGTGAATGGTTTGAGATTTAATTGAGTAGTTTGATTTAATGATTGATGTTTGAGTTCTAATTAATTGTTAATATTAAGTTTGATTAATGGTTATATGACTTAATATAATGACTAAAGAAAGTTCGAATTGTGAAATTGAATTGAAGGAGGTACAAAAGGATGTAGTTAAAAAGTATTCACATTGAAAGAATGAGAAGTATCATTAAGAAGTGAATCTAAATAAGAGTCCACTTTGTTGAATGAAGACTAATAAATTGATTAATCACAAATATTACTTCTATTTAATTTTATACATCTTCAAAACATTCCATCATCTTTTCTTGATAAACATCACTTATTATTCCTATCTTTTTATTCATTTCTCTATTACTTTCAATTAATTTATTAATCTTAAACAATTATTTATATACTTTCTATTTATAATACTATAATACTAATCAAATCAATTATTATCATTATTTTATTTCAATTTTCCAATCAATCAATAGGCATAAGTTGAACAACACTGTTTATATCCATCTTTGTCTCATTAGTTAGAAAATTTCACCATAATTTATATTCACATAATCATAACACTATAAGCACATATCTTTCTCATCTTCTGTTCAATTTCAAATCAACTTAAGTTGAATATATTTCTCAAAAACCTAAGGTAATTTTGATTATTGTGAACTATTTAGGGCGATGAAGGAATGGTGGTATCAGTGAGGTAAATATTTAGGTAGGTGGAAAAGAACTTTTTACATTATTAGAAACAAAACCTTTGTAAAATCATATAATTTCAGTTTGCTTTTAATTGATCCTTTTAGACTATATAGTAGCATGTAATGATAATTTGAACAGACAACAACCACCAAAACAAGTTTCCCAGATTAAACCATGCTATACTAAACATTCATTTATAAATGAATTAGCCAGGATTTATCACTTTTAGATTGATGAAACTAAATACTTCCTCAAGGACAAATACAATCATTTATGCTACTACTCGACAACTTAATCAAACAACAAAGAAAAAAAAAAGTGGTCATATTTGAGAGGACTTTTATATTGAGAACATATAAGGTAAAGAAAATATATATAAACCGATATTAATTTATTAAATAAGTTGTCTCGGAAAAGAATTATCTGATATAATTTCAATAGATTCATACAATTAAGAGTCAAAAAGAAAAAAAAAATAACTTATAAAATGAAATTTATGATAATAATTACATCACAATACTATGAGAATAAAAATAACTAGATTCAGATTAAACATCTCAAAGAAGTCTCATCATTTCAAAAACTTATATAAATAGATTAGGTATCAAAATCTTTATTGAAAATGGATAACTGTTTAAATTTAAAAAATTGCACTTAGATGATAATCTTCAGCCATAATACAATTTTAAAGCTAGATTTTGGTTGTATTAGATGCTTTACTTCTACATTAATTTAACAGCTACATAATTTATAATTTGTTACACTGTATATCTGGTAGATAGAGGATTATCAATAACTAATTATATCTTAGTTCAGGAATATAGGTATCTGTTAATGAAAAAATGGAAATTGTAATATCACTAACTAAGATTATATCGCAAAACTATTTAATGTTATCCTTTTGAGTTTGAATAATCAAGAGTTAAAATTATCTATAATTATTATTTGATTGATAAATTTTATTTTATAGCCTTTTGAAAGCTAACATATTAAAATATTTTATACATATGTAACAACTTAAGCATAAAAATTTACATTATGCGATAAGAAGGCTTCAAATCAGGTTTTTTTCGGAATAATGCAATTTTACTATGTTTTAATGATAAATTTGGGCTTTATGATAGCAACCTAATCGTTCAGTGTCAAATTTCTAGCCTTCAGATATTATGCAATACTTTACAGTGAGTCCATCTATTGATTGCTATGTTGGCTACGTTTAAAAAATAAGCAATTCCTGTTAAGCATTTTTCAACTTCATTTATATACAAATTTCAGGAAAGAAATATATGTTTTAGAAACCTTTTGTATGCCAATCTTATTTTTTTACGATTTCCTAACGATCAGACTAAATGTCTTTATCAGTGGACTTTATATTTTGCTACTAAAACTTACCATCTACATAATTAAGTTCCTTCTGGATAAAAACTATAATACTGATTGTAATTTTTTCTTCTTCTATAAATGTTATCAACATAATAGTGCGACTTGTTTTAACAAAGCCCAAAATTAATTCCGAGATCAGTGAGTTTGATTTCCAGCACACCACTAAATTTATCTTGCTAAACCAGTGACCCAGCAATATTTAAAATAAGCAATGAGTATTTCGCTAGCAATTCTTATCTGTGACTCAAGGGCTGATTAAATAGTATTCCCTCTCCAATATTTGTAACACACCTAGTGAATTCAGTATGCAGAACCTAAATATCTATTCATTCATATTTACATTGCATTAATAGCTAGAAAGCAATATTTCTTTAAAAAAATAAATAAAACGTAATCAAACAGTCTTACCAGACCCTTATTAAGATATTATAGTGTAGAAAACTGCAACTGTCACAGTTATATTGAAGGTAGGTAAACATTCAAAAATATTTTCAAAACTGCAAATGGTGAGCTTGTTACAATCTTCGCAAAAGTTATGCAGGAAAAGCATTTAGCATCATGATTCACTCTTTATAGAAAGTTTTGGCGTTGATCATAAATATATTAGATCTTTTGGGTAAATAGTTTGAAGAACAAAGTTAAGAGGTTAAGTATAATGTTTAGGGGTAATGAAATAGATATTCGAAAATATTAGAGGATAAATGTGTCCTTTCTCAAGGATTCTGGCCCATTTGAAGCAATGCTCTTGATTCTATTGCTTTTCAGGTATTTCTATTTCTCCCAATATACATAAAAAGTTTAAATCTTCCTTAGGCACTGTTGAATGCAAAACAAGTTTTGTTTATATAATAATTTATCAGTATGGAATGGGGAGCAATGAAAGAAACAAAATATGAAAAATGTATGTCATATTGTAATACACTGAGAACACAAATTATATGCATAAAGTAATCTGTGTAGTCTAATAAAATTTAAGCCCTTTTAAGTAGCTTACTTTCCAACTTGTTGCTTCAAATGAATCAACTAGTAAAACTATGATTTGGAGTATATTAATTTTATGGATAGCCTAATAATTATCTATATATTGAGACTATTAACAATAGACGAAACAAACTTAAAGTGTCTATTTTACAATAAGAAAGAAGTAACATAATTATTATATGTTTTTGACTAAAATCGCTCAAGAAGCCTATCATGGATAGAATTTTGAGAGAACTTACGAATAAATTTAGATATATTTACAATAGGCGATGATGCTGAATAATACTCACAAGTTTATTTCTAATTTTATGGTTCAGTAAACATGAATTAAGCTTTATTGTTTAATAATTACACATTTTATTCTACTTTCTATTTACTTAGATGAATTAAAACCATTTTTAATTATATTAATTACCTGGATATTTTGAGTGTAACCACGAGCAATAATTTATCAGTCTTAGCAGTTTAAATTAATTGTCAGAAGAAAAAATTATCATAAATTTCAATCATAATTCATGTGTGATTTTACATTCAGCGGTTTAGTGTAATTGTTTTTGACTCAATTTGTGCTTCATATATTTGCAGATACGCATTGTGTCGCAACTTCTAAAACTAATAACTATTTTATGGTGTTTAAAGATTGCCAATAGTTTTGTTCCAATATGGAATCTTAACATTTAACACTTATAGAGAAGTATGAATAAAATAGTAATCAATAGATTTTGCAATATTTTTCTCTGGTCAGGATTTATTGTCTGCATAGCTGGTACAATAAGAGCAATCACATTAACAGCTTTGGCTACAAAAAACAACAAATAAAGGCAAGCGCTAAATGTATGAATTGACACTGAAGTTGAAGCCATCCTAAAGATTAATATCATAAAATTTCTGAGGATGCTCACATTGTTTATGAAAACGAAAGTTTCAAATTTATTGAGATCACAAGCTTTAATAATAATAGGTTTTACATTGAATAGCAATATTTGATCAGGTGACATCAATTAATGAACAGAATTCTAATTTGGATAAATCTGTAAATGATTGAGGTAGTCTTAAAAGTGGAAAAGTTTCTTATTAAGAGATATTTGGCTTGCTCAAATTAGTTTGTAACCATTATTCTAATTGTAGCATACTAGACTTCTAGATGATATCACAAGTATAAGGCTCTTGTACAAAAGAGGAATCCTTCTGCTGCAAAATACTCATAAAGGGTTCACTGAACAATTTAGAGATTGAGAAAGCATTCTCAATAGCCAGAATGAGCTTCCTATGTATATTATGAAAAGATTGTCATGATGTATCAATTAATTAGTGTATCATATTAATAATCGACAATACATAATGAAGAGGTAATGATTAAAGGTGCATCTTTTAAGGCAGCTAGCATGAAATCTTCCCTTAGGTAAGGATTACAAATAAACACTGCGAGTATCTATAAGTACATAAATTTTATTTATTTCAATGTTTCTTTACATACAGACATCTGGATTTGTAGTTTTCTGGGCATTGAAAAAAGAGAATTATATAACAATTAATTATATTTAGCTTAAATCAACTCATTTTTAGCAGCATAATTAAAATTCTAGTAAATTACAAGACTTCTCATATTATAGCTGGGTTGCTAGGCAATATTTAATTTCATTCAGCCTAGCCACCAGAGCACCATGTCTAGCAGAGTGCAAATACAGGTATAAGGAAACCTGAAAGCTCTGCTCCAAACAATATTGAGGAATCGCAGTTGCGGTCAAGGTATGCATGATTTAAGGGTTGTAAATTAATACAATAGCCTTAATAATGAATAGGATGCTGGGGCAACTATTGCGCGACTTCAGTTAAAAGACTAATTGCAGGACACATCAAATATCAATAGGATCAAATGCCTCTTTATTGAAGAGCTCACAATTCAACGGGTTGAAAATGCTCTCTCAATAATCTCAGTAATTTAATGTTATAAAAAACAATTCAATCAGTGATGGAACCAACCATAATATATTTATATATATACATACATGGCAACATTTTTCGCGTGATTCTTAACGTAAAAGAAGGACAGTTGAAAAGTTTCAGCTATTTGTGTTGACTAAACATTTGCATTTTCGAAGTAATCATGCTCATCCATCTCTGTTTCGAATTTAACTTATGTAAGTTTCGCAGAGTTAAATTAGAATATGCAATAATAGAATAGCCATCTGTGCATTAGACTCTCAACAAAGAATAAATAGAGATCTAAGAGTTATTAACAGTATATTTTAACCTGTTATCAGATATATAAAGTCATAATTAATTAGCATTAGATAATTGATACTGAGAACTGAAGCTATCCATAACTAATGAAGTTGAATAAGGGTAGTTGAAAATGCGTAAATGAATTACTGAGCTATTTTCAGAACATAGCATTTAGCACAACAGTGTAGAAATCCTGACTTGTTTTATATTGTCATTAATGTTTAGTGGACATTTTTTAGTTGTAATTTGCAGGCACCAGCATTTTCCAAATGTTATTATGATCATCACAGATAATGAATGGAGACATTAAAGTAAACTCTTATACTTTTAGAAAATAACATCAAAGTAAGTACATTAAACTATAGATTTTGAACTATGATTCACTGAGAATTAAACATAATGAATGGGATAATTTTCTGTTAAGAATATGCTTGATAAAAGTTGTAACTGATGGTGGCAGCTTGTGAATTTAAAAGCAATATGTAAGACATTTTAGCACATCTTAGAAAAATAGCCTGCAAATGGATATGTCAAAAGAGAAGAAGTGTTTGCTTTAAATTTGCTGTAAACATTAAGTAGATTATATGTGGATTAGAAGAGTAGATTTAGTCTAATGAATATTAGATTAGTTCTGCTGAGTAGGACCCCTTTGTTAGTCAAGATCATTTCTCCAAGTTTTAGTAAATTGTTAAGAATCAGTAAGTAAGACAGGACTGACAAGAGATAGAATTCTTGAGATGTGATTATATGGTTTATTAGATGTACTAAATGTTAGGTTAAAGCACAGAAAACATTAAAATGATAAAACAAGTACTAAATAAATATTTGTATTAACAGACATTTTTGATTATGTAATAGAATGACTTATATATTTTAAATAGATGCAATCTTTTACTCTATTAAAGTTTGAAACCCTTAATGCAGTGTACTAAAGTAGCAAATAATAATTCTTATAGGTACTTAAAATTTATTAAAACAAAGTAGAAGAGTAGATTGTCATCATACTTAACTGAGGAAGCACTAATATAAGGACTGCATTCTACACTACTTAACTATATATTCAGACCTGTGTCGGTTATAAAACATAAAAATAAATAAAGATTCTTCTCATGCTGTGACATAGATTGCTAGAGGTTAGAACAAGAAACTAAAAAATAGCTAACAGTCTCTAATGTATTAAAGATAAAATTGTTGAAGCACTTTCTTAAAGAATACAAAATGCTGAAACTAAATATTGTTGGATCAGAAATCCAAGAAAGATAACCAATTAATACTGACTAAGTTTTCCAGTGTCTTGCATTTACAAAAAACAGGACTAGAATTAGAGAAAAATTTGCAAACAAAATAATGGCCAAATAATCAAGACTCTCTATTATAATATGATATTCAGTAAATTTTACAGTTGTAGCTATGGTAAATATGAGGCTGTCCCAAGTGCATAATATTCTACAATATGAGTATCCTATACAATTTAAATTACTTGTATATTATTTTTAGGTCCACATTTATAGTACTAGAATAATTAAAGCACAATATTGAAACATTTTTTATGTTATACCAAATAGGCATTTTAGTTAGCTTCTAAGTCAACAATTTAAGCTTCAAGGAGAACATTTAATAGGGAGCATTCAGACAAAATGAGCAATATCCACCGCCTCAAGTTTGGAAATTACTAGTAACCATATTGCTATTTAAAGTATTAAAAGGTACTATCTGATATAGAAAGTGCTAAATATGTTAATTAATTTAGACTGGTAGATATGCATCTTGAACTTGCTCAACATAGCTAGTTTACAGTTAGTTTATAATAGGAATCAGTACAGAATGGTTGCTAATAGTTACAATTGCAAAGGCCTTTTGATTATTCATGACAGAAAGGAAAGGTGACAGAGGGTTACAATACCTATCATTAAATTGTATCCGTTTTTTAAATATTCTCAATTCAAATTTGCAGTTGATCATCCTGGTTTGTTATTTAAAAAGGTTCATTATTTCCAATAAAAGGAGGGCAATCCGGTCACAACTAATTTAAAGCTGCTGTTTGAAAATCATAATTTGACTATATAAAATTGAATCGTACTACTTTAAACTTTAAGAATATAAATATCAATCAAAAACAAATAGCTTGCAAGACAGTTATCATAAGAATAAACAGCATCTTAGCAACCAACACCCATAAAATATGCACACCATCAGCATGTTCAAAACATTAACAACTGTTTGATGCTGCAAAAGTTTATGTGAGCAATGACTTGAAAAGAGACCTCAAGAAAGAAGGTGGAACCTCAAGTAAACGATATCCACAAGAAAGGAACTTTTCTTCTACAATCAGATGGAACCATCATGAAATCTTTCTCGCCTTTTTATGTTTCCATAATAATTTTGAATGCATGCATTTGGGGACCAATAAAATGTGTATGATTTAGATACTCCCTCACCTAATAATACAGATGTGGGTGTGAAATATGTCAAGATTAAAGTTGAGGTTACAGTACTTATATAGTGAAAGATGATCATCTAATTTTACATTATAAAATGTATATTTATTAAGAAAAAAGAGAAGACAATTTACAAATTGAAAATGATTAGACTAAGGTAGTGTTTAGAATTTGCTGAGAAATCATTTGCAAATAACTCCAAGCATCTCTATGAATATAGAATCCATGAAAAAGGAAACAGTTTTCCTCTAAAGTAGCAGAACACAACTTACAATCTCAAGTTGATTTAACTATACAGACATCAGCGTATAAATTATAAACGGGTAGAATGTATAATATTGCATACAAGGATTATTATTTTAGAAATTATGTGTAACGCCTTAATTCTAGCAAGCCCAGCAATTCCAATTACTAACCAACTGTAGTATATATTGTGCAAAGATTTGCAAGCACATTGTTCGAAATAATAGTGCCCTAATTAGCGGTTGCAGCTATGCAGCATGAGATATAACTATTAAATATCTTGACAATTCATATGCATGAAATAATATCATTTTAAAGAAGATATTTAAAATTCAATATTTTCATATTTACACGTTATTCAGAGCAACAGTGTTATGATTCTTTATATATCAGCTCTCACCTGACACTTTTAGCCATAAAATCCTATAAATACAGGTACATAATAAGAAATGACAGAATATTTTGGTGTCGTTGTTTGATCCTCTAATCTCTAATAGATAATAAAGCAAGTCGACAAAATCATTTTGATAACAGCAATAATGTGGGCATCCATTCTAAATAATTGTTGTTAGGTAAGCAAATCATTTTTCAGGGTTGTAGTGCATTCTGTTTGCAGATATATATAGTGTGCAAATACATATAAAATTGAATCAAATAATTTGGAAGTGCGAAAGATTACCAGCTTTAAGCTAACTATCACTTAATTAGGAAGATGCTCCACAATATTATTGGCTCATTGTATTAGCATATGATAAATGGAAATTGGCACCCACAATCTGAGTTATCATAAGTAGAACATTTGAACAAGGGTTATCCGCATATCAAGGGCAGTTCTTAACTGATTTATATTTCATCATTGCACGGCTAATTTTCGAATTAGATATATTATCCGTAAAACTATTTTTAGTGCGAAAACATTTTTATCAAGAGAAGGCATAATAAGTATCCATTATTGCTATAGTGATTGAAAAAATAAGGTTAATATAGCAATATATAGGTATATTATTATGATAGCATAAATTTGGTACTTAAATTATCTGCAGTAGAAGAATGTTGGTGAAATTTTGAAACAAAAAACACATGGTTTATAAAAATCTCTGATGAAAAGTAAATGAATAGAGTACCTAAAAATATCAGTATAAATAAAAATTGGATGTTTAATGAGTTATTAATGGAAGTATAAATATTGTATTGTTATTTGAACTTCTTTCAAGAAAGAGGAGCAACTGCTGGTTTCAATAACTGTTTCGTGCGGCTCCAGGAATAAACAAATCTAAAAACCTTATTCTAATTCATCTCTCACCTGTAAAGACTTGAGTACATTTAGCATCGATTCACTTTATACCTCTTGTTACAAATGAAACACTTCAGGTAGAATGCAGGAAATATCAATGCAATAACAAGGTATAAGATTAAGTTTTAATGAAAACATTATGCCTCAATTTCACATTGACATGGTACTTTTTTTGAGGTATTGGCAATCATATTTAAAAAAAATGTATATTAAAAATGAAGGTGAAAAGCATGAATCATACTTGAAGCATAAAAGATATATAACTGTGTAGGTATGTATCATACTTCACCTAGGGGTTATAGTATTTGGATTACTAGAACATATGCTCCACTAACACTAACAAGACTGATATAAGAATCTAAGATGGATAAGATAGACAAAATACACAATGATGTAATATTATTTTAAAGAGATAGTTAGAACATAAGAATACAATACAATCCAGGTAAATAGAAGAGCGCATTGGCAATAAGTAGTAGCTCCTCTTATTCACTATGATTATATGCTTTGGCTTCAGCTGTTATAAGTGATAACATGTTTTACAATAATTATACTTTATTAATTTGTGGATACACAGGCTGTCACTCTTTGATATAATATAAAATGGTGAAGAGAAATTATGTCAACATCTTGTGCAAGTAACTACACATAATTCAACTAATGCAAATTCTATGTATAAAGGCGATGAATAATAATTTTTGGCAACTCGGCTATCATCAAGGGATGAACATTAAGTGTCATTTTCAGGACATGATGCAAGGCGAGAGTAGAAGTTAAATTATCATAATGATTGCAAGTGCACTGAAAGTTCGAAAATTAAAGTGCAAAACAAAATATCTAATTTAGCATCAACTTAGAAGCAGTAAAACAATTACTACATTTGCATCAGTATTATTATATTTATCACAGTAACTTCACATGTACCATTAGATTCACTCAATAAAAATAGTGTATCGAGTTACTTCGTATGTCACTCACAAAAGCCTATGGGCAATATTACTTAGTGAAGAGAGTGATCATATTATCATTATTGCTTTTACATATCAAACCTGAATGGTTAAATATTTTACATTTAGTTAGTACATTAAGCAGCAGCCGTGAAAGATTACAGAAGAAGAATAATCACAGCCATATTTTTTGATTCATGCTGAATTAACTAATCCAGATTAAACGAAGTACACATAGTTCAATTATAATATATTATTGGTAGGTTGCATCAAATGAAACATCTATCCTAAAGCAGAAGGTATGAATTTATTCGGTCTTATAATTGAGAGTAAGGTTTATACAGCCAATAATTTAATAATGAGATGGAAAGAAGTAACTCCAATCAGAGTTCACAAGATAAAAATGAAAAGCTTGCCATTTTTGCTGTGACATAATAATTAAGGAACAAAAGAATCTGCAATAATATTCAGTAGGGCATATCGTATATCAAATTAAAACTACTTTTAGTCTGATATATCATCACAAATAAAACAATGAGCATTCTTAAATTTATTACAACATAATTGCAATAAGCACTATAGGTATTATTGGAGATTTAGTAGCATTTTTCAAATAAAAGAAAGAGGCATTATGTTTAAGCAATTATGTCGTTATTAATAAACATAGTTCTAATCAAAAAATGTTTGACAACGGTTTCAAGCCTAAAATCTACAACTTATTGTACAAAAAAGTATAAACCTCTAATAAGAGAAGCTAAAAGTTAGGTATTACATAAGAATTTCAATTCAGCTCTACATAAGATGCAGTCACTATCATAAGAACTAAGCATTAGTATCCCAGCGTTTATTTTTAGGCGATATCTTCATCAAATACAACTTTATTTCCTAAGGGTAGAAGAAATAAAAACTAAATACAACCGATCCTAGTTTACCATAACAAGAATTTTAAGAAAATTTTCTTATCCAGATACATGTTGTGATGTGATTAACTAAGATGCTTAATTACTCACAACATAAAGCTTAATCCACAAATATTCTCAATAACCAAGTTAAACAAATATATGGACAGTCCATATTGGAATAGTAAGCAATCACTAAAACAAAGAACAGCATTTATAAAACGTAACTATCAGAAGGTTTAAAAAATTTAACTAAAATAGGAAAAACCAGTTAGTAGAAAGAGAATTATATAGATACGGGCTAACTTGGAATCCTCAAAAAATGATTTGTAGAGCAAAATTTTTAAGATGCTGCTTTAGTTTAAAATAATTCACTACTTTTGGGTAAATTCTGCATCTAACTATATCTAGGACATTGATCTTGTACAAGTGGTACTGATAAAAGTTTTACACTATGAGGAATTATTGAGCAATTAAAAATATGATTTTGAATTAAATGCTAGCAAAACAAATCGTTTGAAATGCTCTAGCAATAACATAAAACAAAATAATGCAGACCATTAAGAACTTTAGACAATACTATGGAATTAGCACTGATAATATCAATTATCAATCAATGCATCACAGATGTTTCCAAGGCGACTCGTTTGGTTGGCAATTGAAAATGCTTCGAATTACTTAAAAATGTGAACAAGCTAGCCATCTCACTAACTAATACAACCAGCCGCTAATGCACTAGGAATTTGACATTATTATTACGAGAAGCACGAACATTCGATTCTATATGTTTGAAAAATTCTAAATAAATAGCAGTGAGTATATTATTTGGTTATAGTATAGAACCCATATAAAGTGTACAACATACTCCAAATATGAGGATGTGATTATTCAAGCTCATTTAATAATCTTTAACTAGCACACAACCACTTTGACAAAGTACACTGCTTTGCTTTGATTTATAAAAATACTTAGATTTGAGTTGGCAATACTTAGGAGTTAGCAACTATACGGAACTATCAATAAAAAAGATAGTTTCTATTTTTTGGTACGAACTATAAAGATTGCAAGGTTAACTTTTAAAATAGTTGTGGTGAATCGATGAAAAGCAGGGTATTATAAGCAGAAAGCATCACAAAAAATTAGAACATTCTATAGTTAAAGATTGCTTGCATCTATTAATGAATTAAAGTCAGTATAATAAAAGTTCATTTCATTAACTACTAAAATCAATGGGTACTATTTTAGAAACAAGCAGTTCATTATGAATTAGAGACTCCATTAAGAATAGGCTGCTGTATGGGTTAAGGGCAAGTGTCAATTGCAATAAGCAAACAAAAGTATGAGGTAATGCTGCAATATATTTTTTGTAAATCAACATATGACCCATGCTTTGCTGGAAATGTTTTACTGTTTTTTCATCTAGACTCGAAAACGATCAGCATTCATGAATTGTATACATTAGCAAACATACAATCAGTAGATTTATTTGCTGTATCTCACGAAATAATGTTTAGAAGGCGAGACTGAAACGAAATGGTTGCAATTTATTTAACAGTAAAAATTAAAGGTGTTTTATATCATCAACTAGATATCGAGATTCGGAATCATAATTATGCACAGATACTTTGCACCTATCAAGATTCAAACCTCACGTCGAGCATTCGCATAATAAAATTGCAAGCATTTAATTATGAAGGTATGAATTCAAAAAGGTACACATTAACAAAAGAAAAAACGCATAAAGCATGGAAAAATGCATAAATATAAAGTTTGATGGAAAAGATCAATTGTTACAAAGAGTAACTTGAATTTTGAATACAATAGGGATGGAAATGAAAAGTTTCATAAATTTACAAGTGAACCAATATCCTCTTCATGACATCACTGGTAATAGATCGCCAGTGGATTAAAGTTACATAATACTTAATTAATTGAATCGTCCAACACGTTATTCATTACAGATGATATGAGGAAGATTCATATAAATAAGTTTTCTTTTACACCACAAAAAATTTCTTTGATTTTGACTCAACATTAGAATAAATTTGTATATACATACACCTACTATATAATATAATAATTGGCTTGAGAGTGTCCATAAATGATAATACATTTTAAAGTAGGTTAATTCTGCAACATATTAACCATCAAGAAAATCTGAATTTTGTTTTTTTATTGGTTGTTAGGAAATTATTAATAAGAGGATGAGAGTGAACTAAAAGTAGAATAGAACAAGCTTCACTGATTTAACTGGAACTTGGATTATTCAGACTAGTTTGTATTATCATGGATGTTAAAACTTTGCACATACACTTTCCTGCATTCATTTTGAATTCATTCTAAATTTGTTTTAATTTCCATGAATTTTTGGCTGTATCTGCTCAACTAATTGTATCATCTAAAATATACACACTTCTTTATGTTATAAAACTTTAATACAACTACCCAGAAATTAAATTACCTGCAGATTTCCTGTTACCAAGAAGCGTAATTTTTTTAATATAATAATTTCATTTAGAATATGCTTTATAAAGACGATGTTACCAAGTTGGAACGTTGTCTAAGTTGAATTAATGATAATGGGTAAATATTCATATTTTGTTAATTTCCTTCAAAATTTTTTTTTAAATGCGCTTAAAATAAATGGCCAAGTTTGTAGATTTGCGAATGCGAGGTTCAATGGTGTGCTGTTGAATTGGCAATGAATTTTGCTCAGCAATATTTTACTCCTGCTACTTTTTCATCAAAATTTTGATGCTTCATTCTTCATAAGTTTGCAAGTAATAGTTAAACTACCTTCTCAAATAATGTAGTGTTCAGAGTTTAGAAAATTAAATTCTATAGCCTGGTGTATATGATGCATTGAAATTCAATTAAGCTTACTTTACTTTACATTTGTCCATGCCACTTCTAATGAATACTCTCTAATATTAATTGTTTTGAAGAATATCTGTTTCACATGTGCTTCTGTTATCAGTGATTAGCTCCTCTCAAGTCTAATCATGGTTGATTGTACGAGACCTTTCTACTGGTCCAACATTTTTTCCAATTGATAGTGATGTATTGCTAAGGTTATTGATTGCCATTACAACGATGATACTTATCATGCAAAATACGTAAATTAAATTTTATCCTACATATTTCCTGAATAGGATCAACTGTGCAACTTAATGGAGTAATTATTGTTCGGTTTTAAAGGATGGCTCCACATTTTTTTAATTTCTACCTGAAGAAATCTCTGGATATATTTATGTATGCTCCTTTTGTCGAGCCGAATCTACTTCAACCAATAATTATTATTATTATTCACATAAACATATANACTGGTAATAGATCGCCAGTGGATTAAAGTTACATAATACTTAATTAATTGAATCGTCCAACACGTTATTCATTACAGATGATATGAGGAAGATTCATATAAATAAGTTTTCTTTTACACCACAAAAAATTTCTTTGATTTTGACTCAACATTAGAATAAATTTGTATATACATACACCTACTATATAATATAATAATTGGCTTGAGAGTGTCCATAAATGATAATACATTTTAAAGTAGGTTAATTCTGCAACATATTAACCATCAAGAAAATCTGAATTTTGTTTTTTTATTGGTTGTTAGGAAATTATTAATAAGAGGATGAGAGTGAACTAAAAGTAGAATAGAACAAGCTTCACTGATTTAACTGGAACTTGGATTATTCAGACTAGTTTGTATTATCATGGATGTTAAAACTTTGCACATACACTTTCCTGCATTCATTTTGAATTCATTCTAAATTTGTTTTAATTTCCATGAATTTTTGGCTGTATCTGCTCAACTAATTGTATCATCTAAAATATACACACTTCTTTATGTTATAAAACTTTAATACAACTACCCAGAAATTAAATTACCTGCAGATTTCCTGTTACCAAGAAGCGTAATTTTTTTAATATAATAATTTCATTTAGAATATGCTTTATAAAGACGATGTTACCAAGTTGGAACGTTGTCTAAGTTGAATTAATGATAATGGGTAAATATTCATATTTTGTTAATTTCCTTCAAAATTTTTTTTTAAATGCGCTTAAAATAAATGGCCAAGTTTGTAGATTTGCGAATGCGAGGTTCAATGGTGTGCTGTTGAATTGGCAATGAATTTTGCTCAGCAATATTTTACTCCTGCTACTTTTTCATCAAAATTTTGATGCTTCATTCTTCATAAGTTTGCAAGTAATAGTTAAACTACCTTCTCAAATAATGTAGTGTTCAGAGTTTAGAAAATTAAATTCTATAGCCTGGTGTATATGATGCATTGAAATTCAATTAAGCTTACTTTACTTTACATTTGTCCATGCCACTTCTAATGAATACTCTCTAATATTAATTGTTTTGAAGAATATCTGTTTCACATGTGCTTCTGTTATCAGTGATTAGCTCCTCTCAAGTCTAATCATGGTTGATTGTACGAGACCTTTCTACTGGTCCAACATTTTTTCCAATTGATAGTGATGTATTGCTAAGGTTATTGATTGCCATTACAACGATGATACTTATCATGCAAAATACGTAAATTAAATTTTATCCTACATATTTCCTGAATAGGATCAACTGTGCAACTTAATGGAGTAATTATTGTTCGGTTTTAAAGGATGGCTCCACATTTTTTTAATTTCTACCTGAAGAAATCTCTGGATATATTTATGTATGCTCCTTTTGTCGAGCCGAATCTACTTCAACCAATAATTATTATTATTATTCACATAAACATATA